ACAAATCAAGCTAAAAGTAGCTCATTCCAAACTCCAATGCTCCAATAACTATACGGCTCATTCCATTCTATGAATGAATCCCTCCATATAAGTGCATCACATTTCAGAATATGCCTGCTCCATCTGCTGAGTTTCCATGAAATAAGAATCCAAAGTAGTACAGCTTAGTTGCCATGATACGAGAATTCCTATTTGGACCAGCACACGCCATTCAAAAACTACCCATCTTTAGGAATGCATGCCTAAACAGGATAAGAAGTCAAAAAACTTATTGTCTGACAAGAAAGAATTTCTTATTTCTTATTTCGGATGAGAATTATAGGACGAATAAAAATGTTGGAAGGAAACTCTGGTTTACTAGGGTTTTTTTCTCCCTACATTAAACTGAAAAAGGAACAATACAGTAATGATTTAGAAAAGAAATCAAAGCACAAAAACAGTACATATAAATTTCCTGGATAAGAAATTCTGCAATACATCATATAATTCAATTAGCAACGTTTCTTAAGCAAGTTTGATAGGTTCACCAAACAGTTGCCCCATTTCACTTTCCAAGACATTTAACAAATTTGCTTTCGTCCGTCTATACACCCAAGCTTGAGCACTTCGATCCCAATCAAACCTTGATGGACCACTGCAAGAAAACCAGGTCGTAACAGTCAGATCACAAACAAGAAAAACAGGGTGGAAAAAAACACTAAATTTGGCAGCATGAATATCTGATAATGCCATTGACTTAAATAGATAACATAGAAAAAAGTTCAACTGAGACAAGCATTAATGCAAAAACATTCTAGCTCAAGCTAATTGTTTAAAGTACACTACTAAACAAAACTTTCAGCATCAAAAGCTCATCCTTAAAAAAAGAAAGGGACACGAATTTTATACACTTTCTTTGAGTCTGAAAGTGAATCAGCATGAAAAAGGATTACAATGATAGCATGGAGTTCTTTTGTTTTGGTTTTAATAGCACATTACTTGCTTAAAAACCTACTAATATATACAACTTAACAAACAATGTTCTCTTTTTCAACTTAGATCCAGATTCATTGGAACCTCCAACAATTCTTTCGCAAGTCCTAACCAACTTCCTCCAAACTAATTTCACAGTCATTTGACCGCCCACAATTATAGTAACATGTTCAATTTCACTCCAGAAATCAAAAGGAACAAACAAACGAGAGAGCATGAGCACAATAATCCCCTTCAACCAAAGGACATGAATCATTTACACAACATCACATGGTACTTAAAACACAACCCTAAAACATATAAAAATGGACAAACTGAACTAGCTAGCAATAAGAAAATTCCACACCTCACAGGGGAAGATAACCAAAGTTGCCGATTCGGGGTTTGTTTATTCAACACATAAGTCCCTAAATCTCCAAGCTTTAGAGTCAAAACCTCATTCTACCAAAAACAACATAAAAAACTTCATTAACAACAAAACTCAAATCAAAACAGAACCTCAAAACAATAACGACCAAAGAAAAAAAAAAAAAACTCACCCCATAATCGATATCAAAGCCATCAATTTGAACACTATCACCATATTCCTGTCCAAAAACCAAAAACTCATTATTAAAAAAAAAAGAACAAAAGCTTCAAACCCATTAATTTGAAAGCAGGGAATGTTAAAAATTAACCTCAAATTTCTCTTGAAGGTCATGAATAGTTGAATCAGCTAGAGAGTGAAATTCATCCTCCTGTAAAAGCGAACTGTTTCCCACTATAATCAATTAAAAAAACCATAAAAAAACCACCTTTAACCAAACCAAAAAAGACCCAGATAACAAAATCCGACATTAGGTGCCCCTTAACCAGACTTGCAACGAAAAACCTACCGGTAATCAATTGCAGCAGGACCTTCAGTGTCGGTTGAGTTGAGATTTAACAAGGGAGAAGAGTAGAAGGTTCTTGAAAGAGGAGGAGAATGACTGCTTGAATGGTGGTTGATAGTTCTTGAGGATTGTATAAGAAGAGAACGTGACCTGACCAAGAATGAAGAAGGAGAAGTAAAGCAGTGCTTTAGAAGTGTGGAGAGCCTTCTAACAGAAAGTTGCAGCTCTGAAGCCATTGATGTTTTGCTAAAACCTGGTACTTCGGTGGTGCCTGTTGTTGTCTTAGCAAGCCTATGTGCTCGGTTTCTTAAGTTTGGATCAAATTTCATATTGGGCTTGCATCCAGTGGATTTGTGCAAGGGATGGACCGAAAGCATTGAAAATTATATGATTTTCGTATGATTGATTACAAACAATATTTTGTTACTTCTTGAAATAAAAAAAAATGAAGATGATGAAAATTTATTTAGTTAAATAAATAAATATAAATATATAAAATCAATCTATTTTTTTAATATTAAAATTAATTTATATACTTTTAAAATATAATATAAAGTACATGAAAGACAAATCTTCTATGTTGTAATTAGTGATAAAAATTAATCTCAAAATAAATGTTTTTTTAAAGTGAATATTTTTTATGTAACTGATTTAAAAATTTGAAGGAACAAATTTGATCATATAGTTTTCAAATTATTGGAATTATAAATTAACAAATAAATATCATATGATAAAATGAATCTTTTTCCAATTAAGCTGGTTTTGAAGAGGTTGAAATGTCTAAGATTATAACTAAAATAATGTCAAAAATCAAATTTTAATTACATGACTAAGTGGGCTTTCTTCCATGTAAAGATAAGGGAAGATTCATCACTATAGCCTAAGTTTACAACTAATATAGATGACAAAAATTAAAGTTTAATCCACAGCTAAGGCAAAAGCTATTGAAACTTAGTTTATTGGTGTTGTTATTAAGATTGTTTTTTAAAATGTTTTTTAATTGAAAATATATCAAAATAATTTTTAAATTTATTTTTAATATCACCACATTAAAACAATCTAAAAATATTAATTTAAAATAAAAATAAATAAATTTTTCAAAAAACATTTTAAAATAAAAATAAAATGGGCTCTTAAACACAAAGTTGAGTTTAATTAAGACCAATTAATCGCTTTTTGTTTTTAGGATGCTGATTTTTTAATTATATTTATCTTTAGCATATCAAGTTTCGAATCATATTTATTTATATTAGACTAGTTGATTATGTTAAATTAATTTTGATTAACATAAAAAAATTCAAACATAAAAACTTAAATTTGTATTAATCTCTATATATTAAAAGTGCATATTCTAATGTAAAAACAAAATGATTATATATAAACTAAATTGAAAATATTTTTTTAATAAATAAAATAAAATAAATATATAATTCTTAAGAGATTAGATTAGATTATACGGGTGTAATTTTTTTATAAATATATTTATAATTGTAAATTAATCAATAATTTTGGTAAATTCCAAATACTTGTGTACATTTTGTTTCAGTATTAAAGCTTAGGTTAATTAGGAGAGAGAAAATGCAACAGCCTTTCCCTCTCTAACAGTCGAAAAACACAACAGTGTTTTTGACAGCAGTAGATGAGCACAGCAGCAACTCGATTACAGCACTAGCAGCAACAAAACCTCCAAACGCTCCAGCGAAGTAGCAAGTTTCTTTTTCTTTTTTTTTTCCCAGCTCCCAACTCAGCAACAAGCAACAGCAGCAACAAACTTTTTTTTCAGCAGAAGACCAGATACAGTAGCAATGTTCTTCATGTAACAGCAGTTCCAAACCCTTTCAGCAGCTGTTCTAGTCTCTTTTCAAAGAAAAGAGTAGCTAGTAGCTTGTACCAATTATATTTGCTCAGACCCTTCCTCGCGCAGCTTCTGTTCAAGCAGCCGTTTTTCCACGGTAGTGCAGACCCGTCCCATCACAGATTTTTTTTCTTACGGCAGTACAGCTTCAGTTCTATCACAGCTTGAAGTAGCAACGTCTACACATATTTTTTTTCTTGTGACCCGTTGAAAAGCAGCATCGATCCTTCTCACTTGCAATCAACAGGCGTGGCAGCAATAGACCTCCACCTAGCCAAACAAGCAGAAACTTGATTTACAGCAAGCAGTTACCTCATTAGCCTCTCTGAAACAAGCAGCAGACTTTTCAGTTATTGCTGACGATCGAATAATTGTTTTTTTAAACAGCTTTGACCCTGTTAATTTTTTCAAACTAGTTAGTGTTCAAACAAAATAAAATTCATGGCTTCCCGTAATTTTGTTTAACCGGACAATCCATGCTATGATGGTCATTACAAGGAGCATGCTAATGGAGAATTTTTTACAGCAAAAGAGTATTGACAGCTCATTTCAATGAATAATTTAAATGAATAGAAATAGAAATTGAAAAATTTTAAGCCAAACAATTATCTTTTCTAATTAATTCAACCATCAATCTTAGAACTATTATTTGTAATTAAACTTCTAAATACCGATATTTGAGATCTGATGAAAAATAATTAATACAAAGGAACAACTATAGCAAAGAAAGATTAAATCAACTAGAACAAAATTCAAATTACTTAGGAGAATTAATAAAATCTATTAAAAATTTAATTAAGTTAAATTTAATTAATTCGACGTTATAATTTAATATTCAAATCAATATTAAAAAAAAGAGAGAGAGAGAGGAGGAGGGGAGTACAAGAGGAATAAGCTCTCAATTAAAAACCCGACTGTATCGATCACTGCGTGTGAACCAAGTGGTTGGAAACCTCAGTGTCCTATGGATTTGAAAAATTGGTGTTTCACTCCAACGCAACCATCTGTATAAGATCATACACTTGTCCAGGGAGAGCATGCATGCACTAAAAAACAGAAAATGGCATGCAGACAATTGTTGACTACACCAGTAGTGTCTCAATTATATCACGACAGTTGAAATATTTGTGTTTAACAATTATATATTCATAATAAGCACCTTTACTTTAATGTGTATTGATTACTTATTAAAAAAAAAAAAACACTAGCGTGCAACATATATAGGCTAACTTCTATATATATTAATATGCAAGTACAGCAAAGAAGCATATCCTTAAAACTTGTTGCCTATGTATCCCGATATGGAATCAGACAACGTGGTTACTGTCCTTCAACACTGTCAAGTCTCTCCACCACCTGGTACCACCTCCGAGAAGTCACTCCCTCTCACCTTTTTTGATCTTCGTATGGTTGACTCGTCAGCCAAACATCTCTTCTTCTTCGAATGCACCAGTATCTCCAAGAACCATTTTCTCGAGTCCAGCATTCCAAGCCTTAAACATTCATTGTCCCTCTCCCTCAAATACTACCACCCTTTTGCTGGAAACTTAATATTTCCTCCCAATTCTGGTAAAACTGAAATTCGTTACTTAGAACGTGATTCTGCCTTATTAATCTTCGCAGAGTCGAGTAGTGATTTTATTCATCTCACTGGGAAACAGACACGAAATACGACAGAATTCCTATCCTTTCTCCCTCAACTTCCACCAGAGTCGATGTCACATGACACACTAGTGGTTCCAATTTCTAGTTTTCAAGCAACACTCTTTCCAGATGCAGGCATTTGTGCGGGCCTCCACCTCCGCCATGCAATTGGTGATGGCAATTCAGTCGTCAAATCGTTCTTTAAAACTTGGGCTTCAATAACAAAAGCTGGAGGAGATGCAACATTTTTGAGTGGTGAATTCGTGCCATATTATGATAGGACTCAGCTCAGGGACCCTGAAGGGCTTGAGTTCGAGACCATTATTTGGAATGATCTCGGGAAAACAAAGGAAGAATGGTCACAAACTCATCACCTGAAGCCTAACAATAAGTTCCGAGCAACATTTGTAATTAGTCATGCCACCGCTCAACAGCTCAAGAAACTAGTGCTATGCCGATACCCCTTTCCATCACATATATCGACTTTCACTGTTACATGTGGATATGTATGGTCTTGCTTGGCAAAGGCTAGAGCAGCATGTGGTAAAGATGATAATGAAATGGTACGTTTTGATACTAAGATGGATTAATGTAGAACTCGACTGGACCCTCCTTTGCCTGCAACTTATTTTGGTAACTGTGTGTTGCCTTCCTTAGCTCGTGCTAAGACGGCACAATTGAAGGGAAGCGATGGTTTTGTGATTGGAGCGAAAAGCATAGGAGATGCTATTCATAAGAGCCTGCATCATACAGGAAGGAATATTGAAAACTGTTAAGAATTTGGCGCTACAGCGGGCAGCAGCATCCAAAGGTTGGTTACTGGAAAGTTATTCATCACCCAAGTTTAAGATGTACAATATTCATTTTGGGTGGGAAAGACTTAAAACGAATGAAGAACTTTCCATTGATGACTGTGAAGCAATTGCAGTAGGTGATGGCCAAAATGAGGGGGAGACTGAAATCATCGTATCAAATCCCAAGCCTATAATGGATGCTTTTGTATCCATTTTCAGCTTTGGACTTCAAACTCTAGACGAAGAAGTTAAGAAGCTTGGAGCAAACAACTTCATAAGGAGTAAGATCTAAGGTTGGAAACTGAGAATTTGTTTTAATTTTTTAATTTCTAATTCCACTGTCAATATATATATATATATAACCTGGTGCGATTCTAGCGATTTGGGGACATACTCCTTTTATAAACTATCAACTTCATATTACTGTGAAGTGATTCTAGCTTTTTGCCCTTGACAAATAAACCTTTAAACACTCTCTCAGAGCTTTTCCACTCTCACACCACACAAATCCTAAAACTGTTTGGATTTTGATCACTCAATCACCTGCTGTTCAGCTTTTATATATACTTTGATTGTTATATTCACACGTCTTCAACTTGTTTTCAAAGATTCTCATATATAATCTTTTCTTTATTGTTCTGATGAGACTAAGCTGATACATCTCAGAAATACGGTAATGAGTCCCTCGCTACTTTTACCCTAAAAGATGTGTTCAATCAGTATGTTTTACAGAGAAAATTTATTATATTATTGTTTCAGTTTCTTCATCTGGGCTCTTGAATTTAAAGTAAAAAATAACTAATTCTTGGTTTGTAACTCTATATTTGTTTTCTTTCGACACAGTCTAATTCCTTAGAGAAGAACCTGCATAATAAGAGCTTCGAGAAAAAAGCCAGGATATTTTAATAAGAAGATGGTTAATTAACAATAGTTAAGGGATCAAGTTGTAATTTCTTGAAAAATAAAGGATTGGGTTATAATTGCTCTTAAAAGCAAGGGACTGGACAATATTACACTCTAGAATCCAGCTTCTAACTAACAATGTAACGTACAATGAACATTGCCGGAAAATATTTAAAAAAAAATATTTTTAATATCAGAATATTGAAAATAATTTACATATATTAAAAAAAATATTAATTTAAAATAAAAAAAAATTTAAATAAAAAATAAATACACGCTTAATCTCATTTGGTGGATGGGACGAGGAAGAACTTCAGGATTCCCAGATGAAGCCAAAAATGGTGCTTGAGGTGGACTAGACCTCCTATGAACTAATTGGTAAGGAATTTGATTTTCAAGGTTGTATTTAATTATTATTCTATGATAAAAAAACATATTTGGTTAAATTAATGATTAAAATAAAAATATAGAATAAACTTGTTTTTAAAATAATTTTATATATTTTTAAAATAAGTAATATATAGCAACATTTTATTTTTTTCTATCCGGGAATAATATCTACCTATAATTTTAGATTTGATACTTTTTTTAATTTTTTTTTTATCAACAAACCAGCTTTTGTTATTTTAATTGAAAATACTTTTTCAGGGATTGAGGAATGTAACGTCCCATCCACCCCCATCAGCTTAGAGTCATGAATGTTTGGAAGGTAAAAAAATATTAATTTAAAATTAAAAAAATAAAAATATTTTTTATAAAGTATTTTTAAATATAAAAATAAACCAACTTTTAATCCCAGTAAAATGGGACGAGAAAGAACTTCAGGATTCCGAGAGGAAGCTAAAAATGGTGCATGAGGTGGACTAGACCTACTGATGAACTAATTGGTCAGGACTTTAACTTTCAAGGTTGTATTTAATTATTGTTCTATGATAAATAGAAACGTCCTTGGTTAAATTAACAATAAAATAGAGATATAAAATTAATTTATTTTTAAAATAACTTTGAAATAAATTTATATTTTTTTAAAAACAAGTAATATATGGAAACATATTCTTATTTATTTTATTTTTATCTTGGAATAATATCTGAACGCAATTCAAAGCACCTATAACTTTAGATCTGATACTTCTTTTAATTTTTTATTTTTTTTTATCATCAAACCATCTTCTTCTTCTTCTTATTTTAATTGGAAATACTCTTTCAAGGATTGAGGAATGGTAATGTCCCATCCACCACTGCTTTAGAATGTCAAGGGTGGAATCCACATTACCTAGCTAGCTCATTCACATGATTTGATTGGCTGATAAAGGAATGAAATAATTTATTGATTTTTCTGTTTTCCCTTTTTTTTTTAAACTTTTTTTCTTCTGTCTCATCTCCACTAGGGCATATGTTCTTTTATTGATCAGAGAGTTGGAAGCTTCCCTGGTTATGTTTCTGTTTTGAAGATGATAATTTTGATGGATTTGCATTTTCCTTGCATGTAGAGATAAAAACACCAAATTATTTTAATTATTTTTTAATATTATATTATATTTTTCATATTGAAATATATGCCACTTTAAAACAACATCATAAAACCCAACTTGAGAATAGAACCATGATAAAATGAATAGGAAATGGGAAGATTGATCCTAAAATAAAAATTAAAATAATATCATTTTAATTTTAAAAATATTAAAAAAAAATTAACAAATCAAGAGTTATTTTCTGACTAAGTTAACTACATAAACTATAATTTCTAAACTTGATCCAACTCAAGGTTAAAGTTTCAGATTTTAACTAGGTTGTTTAGGTCATTTTTTTGAAAAAAAATATTAAACGAGTTATAATCAAGTTTTTAATTGGGTTTTATTGGATCAAACAGGATTTTTTTTTTTTTAATTCGGGCTAGTTCTAGTCTCGAGTTAGCCAAGTCAGGTTTCAAAACTATAACATAAACAAGTTAATTCAAGTTTTTAACTAGGTTTTTTTTTGTTAATTTTTTATTCCAAACAAAAAATAAAATAAGAAAGAGATAACTAGACTAGAAAAGACAAGATGAAACAAAGAAATTGATATTGAATTAAACTACAAAAAAGAAGAAAAAAAAAGTTTTCCTTTTCTTCATATTTATCACCATCATAGTAACGTTTTATTCAAGTATCAAAATCTGTGCATATTTTTGTTCTTTTTAGAGGGGAATAGAAAATTGATCTCTTTGTCTTCGTAGCTGAATATGTTTTTTTCTGAGCTATCCATCTTTATTTTTTTATGTCCTAAGATCGTAAGCAAGAAAAACACCAATGAAGGCTTCAAAGATTCAATATTTATACACATTGTTTTCTTCTCGTTGGAAAAGAAAATTTGAAAAAGTAAAAGTAATGAGACACATGAAAAGCAAATCATGAATTACATTTGATTTTTTACTTTTTAATAAAAAAAACTTATTAGTTCATATTAAATGTGTGATGTTAGTATCATTTTGATACTGCATTTGATATTATTTGATAATTAAACTTGATTTTTTATTGTTTTATTAAATATGTTATTATGTTTTTTTTATATAGTATGATACCTGACAATATATAATAGTTGGATTGTGACCAATAATTATTTTTTTTTCCTTCAAAATAATTACAGAATTATCATCTCTTTTTGGTATTTTAATTTCAGTCTTTATTTTTTTAATTTTTAATTTTTTCTATTTTTTTATAGAAGTTTTATATTTATTATTATTATTATTTTTTACATTCGTGCACTTTACAAAAATGAATGTTTTATTTTGTGTAATTGAACATCTTAATCTACATTATTTTTTTAATTTTTTATTTATTTTTTGATTATTGTTAATTTTTTTATTTATATAAATAGTTATCAATTTATTTAATTAGAAGTTTACATATGCTTTTTAATTATATTTTAAATTTTTTATGTAAACAAATATAGTTTTTGAAAAAACAATTATAACATGCAGTAAATTGCAGGTTAGATAGTGTGTGTATATATATATATTTGGCCATCAAATAAAAATATACTTAATAAAGTAGAATCCATTTAAACTTGTGTATTTGTTCTTTCCACATTTTCGGAGTAAAAAGAAAAATCATCGAAATTTTATCTTTAATCACAGCCATAAATATTCTTGGCCTATAAAAACCTCAATCACAAATTACATACACACAAAATCTTAGGGCTAGCCAAGTTCCAAGCTTTACCACATAGCCTCTCCCTTCATCAAATCTCTCTCTAAAAGAAGTCTTTTTACCCTTTTTCTTCTTGTTTCCCAATGTAATAACGATTTCTGTTTTTTTTGGTAGCCCAAGAACAACCCGCGACGTATTTGTACCACTTTTTTTTTTTCTTTTTTCTTTTTATTTTCCATTCTAATAACGATATCTGTTTCATTTGTTAGCCCAAGAACAACACGCGACAGCAAAATAACAAGAAAGTTTTTTTTTCTCTTGCTAAAGGACCATTGCCTTTATCAAAACCTGGCTAGAGAAAGGTAACATGTTTCTCCTTCTCTTTTAGTTTCCTGGGTGCTAGTTGCTTTTATTTTTGTTCTCTCAAAATGGGTTCTTTTTTTGTTTTTGTGTATCTCTTGGTTTTGATTCATATGATTTACAAGTTTGTGGAGAAGGTTTTGGTTTTTCGTTTGAGAGATTGAATTCCTCTTGCTTGTTTTTGAGAAAAAAGTTAAGTGTGCTTGATATCTGTGTTCTTGAATATATGGGAAAAGATTTCTTTTTCTTTGTATATGCATAGATTGGTCTCTTGTTTGTTTGAATAACAGCAATTTGTCTCTGCTTCATTGAGTTTTTTTTTTTTCCCTGAAATATTGAATTTGCTATGGTTGGCTGAAGTTTATTGGCTGCTGCTTTGGCGTTATGTGATTGCCAAGTACTGATGGCTATACAGTTTTTGTGAATGCTATTCTTTGATTTGGTTCTTGTTTAGAAACCATGTTTGAGAAAGAAAGCATCTTTAATGCCATGTTTGTTTTCTTATTGCAGAAAATTGTTTTTGTTTCTTCATGTTTGCCTGTTTTGATTGAAACAGCAGAATGTGGGTCTTGAAGTTTTCATGATGGGTTGCCCATTGTATCACCCCTGCAGATTATAAATATGCAGGACATTTGTTTGAACTTTTTTCCTTAATTTCAGGCTAGCGTTTCCTATGCATAATAGGAATTGGGTTTTCCTAGTTGGCAAAGATACTGGTTCACTCTGGCCGCCGCAACAGATTTAAAGCATTCTCACACCTCTAGGAGGGTGTGGGGTGATAACGAGGGTGTGATATTGCTTTGTGTTTTAAGGCGATCAAGATCATCTTATGCTTGGAGACTGTGCCATGTTTCAAAGGGTTTGTCTCTTGATTTTGGCTAAGGTTTGCTAGCTTTCTGGAAGTTTGTTGGTAGTTGAAGATAGTCAGGTATCAGTTCTAGGCTCTAGGAGTCTGGATGTTAAGAAACAGAAATAGTATGGTTGTTTACTGATAGCATTCTTTATTCAAGTTTAGGCCAATTGTAGATGTAGCTCGCGTTAGTATTGTTACAATGGTTAGGTTCTCATGCTTCAATGCTCACATCCTTCCTCACAAACCGAAGGTATGTGGAGAAATCATTGAATTGGACTTAGAATCTCTGTACTTACCGTTTCATGGCTTTTTTTTACCAGAGTTTCCTTTCTCCTTCAGAAAACAGCCCACCCTTTTGCTGAAGCAAAGCATAAGAGCTTGGAAGATTTTTCTCAAATTCAAGCTCCTAAGGCATTGACTAACACTTCAAGCTTAGTACTTCCAAATGCACGAGTAGATGCTCAAAGTTGGAATGGTATCAGGGGTGTGACAAGCTCTGATGTATCTGTTGGACAAAGCTGGATTTCAGACAAAATTGAGAACAAAATCAATGTCAAGAATGACATAGGATCCCATCAGACAAGGCTTATTAGGAAAAGTCAGTCTCTCGGGAGTGGATTATGCCTCGAGGGAAGGGATCTATGTGACAATGATACTGAGGAGGAGATAGATCAAGGAGTATATAGTGATTACCTTGATCAAAATGTGTTACTTAGACCAAATGGCAGCAAGGATTCAGGAATAAGTCCAACTAGTGAGGATATGAAAGCTCAGCAACTAGAATCTGTTAATAAGAGTTCTGAATTTGTCAAGAAGGAATCCATATTCTCAATTGGTGATGCTCAGCATTCTGAAAATGAAGGCCCTGAAAATTCTGATACTCCATTATCTGGTGGAGGTGGTAATGTCTCTGGTGACCAGTCACCTCACAGCCATCCCATCATTGAAAAAGCATGTACTTTTTCAGACATGGGCTCTTGTGCACCGACTTTTCATAGACATTCTTGTGAATATTTAGCACCTCGGTCAAGATCCTCTGAGGACCTCAATGCTCTAGACTTGAGGTGGAAAACAATTTCAATTCATGGGAATGAAACTCAAAAAATGAAAGAAAAAGAATGGGATGTTAATGTGCCTAAAACTGAGGAAAACAATTCAGAAAGTTGTCTTGATGAAGGTTTTGATCTTTATAATTACTCAGCTTTGGCAAAGGACTGGATAATGCCAGTTATAGACGAAGTGAACCTGGCAAAAAATCTCCAAGGGGAATCCTCCACTCAGCTGTGGGAAGAATTGCCGAGTAAGGATTTTAAAATGAAGCGTATCGTGGACTGGGTAAACAAACTTCAACATTATGATTCTTTTGAAGAAACAAATGGATTGCCTGATGCCGATGACCCAGTTGAGGGAGATTCCAATGATTTGATTTCTGCCAAGGTTGATAAGAAGGACACTCCTGGTATAAAAGCTGCTAAAAGATACATCTCTTCTCTGAGTGTCTCTGCTACCACAGCTCATATGTCAGACCTTGGGCTGGAAGTGATCCCATTTCTTACTGTATTTGGTAGCCTGAGGGTGCTTAATTTATCAGGAAACTCTTTTGGTTTGTTTCTCCTTCATCCCATTTTATTTCTTTCATTTTTTCAAGTGCCTTGGCAGAATAGTCCTGAACTCTTGAGAAATTTGTGCTTGACATTTATTTGTTTCTTATATGCCTAGCAGTAAGAATGTCGGCTGGTGCCCTCCCTCGAGGACTTCGTATGCTGAATTTGTCAAGAAACAATATTTCCACCATTGAGGGTTTACACGAGCTCACCCGCCTCCGTGTACTGGATTTGAGCTACAATCAAATATTCAGAATTGGACATGGTATGTTATATGCTGGATTTTTATTTGATGGTTGTATCTTTCCTATTCGTTCTAATTTCCGAATTACTGTTGAAATCTTCTCGCATTAGTCATGTTGATTCTTGTAACACTACTTTCTTTTGTTAAAGGTCTGGCATCGTGTTCCTCCCTGAAAGAGCTATACTTGGCTGGAAATAAAATAAGCGAGGTAGAGGGTCTCCACCGTTTGTTGAAACTGACCTTGCTGGATCTGCGTTTCAACAAAATCTCTACCGCTAAATGTCTGGGCCTACTTGCAGCTAACCACAGTTCCTTGCAAGCCATCAGCTTGGAAGGAAATCCAGTGCAGAAAAGTGTTGGAGATGAACAACTCAAGAAATATCTACAAGGCCTTCTTCCCCATCTGCTTTACTTCAATCGGCAGTCAATTAAAGCCAGCACTTTGAAGAACTTGGTCCATCGATCAGTTAGGGTAGGCATCAATGCCCATCAATTTGATCGTGGCCTCAGGTCAGAGAGCAAAGCTGTGAGAAAGGTTAGCCATGGTCTAGCTGGTTCAAGGCCATTACCTTCATCAACTCATGTTCGTAAAAGTCAACCTTTGACCTCAACTAAACGGTCAAGTGGAAGGCATCTCCGCTCACAACCAAGTAGAACCCAATCAACAACAGGCCATCATCATCATTTCATTGATCCTGGTAGCAAACTCCTGAACTTTAGATCGGAGTTCTTAGTTCATAGGAGTCAAAGTGAGGGGACTCTGATAGCGTTCTAAGAGATTTTCTATTATGCTTTCCGAAGTCTGGTTAGTACATTACTTTGTGTGGACGTACGGTTTTCTGTCATTATTTGTTACTCAAAGCAGTAGAGGTTGTTGTCAAAGAACCGGCCTCTTAATAGAATGGTATATGAGAATCAAGTTGCAGCTTGAAAATGGCTCTAATGTGATGGAGAACGGAAGGCAAATATACATTTTATGAAGTTGCAGGAAGAAAGTGGTTGCCTAGTTTTTTGCAAGCTCCATAACCATGATAACTTTCTTTCTGCCTAATCTGACTAAATTGATGCCTTTTCAGCCAAATATTTTAGAAGCAATTTTAAACGCAGCATTACCAGAAAGAAGTTTATGCGAGGTTTCCTCAGGACACGTTGACAAGGAGCCAATGAAGAAATAACATGGGCAAGGCCATGGCCTGATTCCCTGAAGGCCATGAAAGTGTATTATACATCATCATGCAAGCTGCACGCTTTTTACACATACAAAGAAACAAGGGATGCTAAAGATGTCCAGAAACCAGAGTATGCAACTTTTAAATTTGTACAACTCTAAAAGCCGGTTCTCATAAGACATTGGAATGCTAAAAACCTATTAACATTCTCAGAGAAACTGGGTGAAAATATGTAACTACCAATACATCGCATCTGAAAACAAGCCAGTTGACCAGGAATTCTAAAGAAACCAGACAGAGAGTAATTCTTGACAGTTCACAGCCTTCAATTATTTTGGGGCCTTAAATTGTTAGCTGCACAATGTGAGGACATATATATCAGATTTGGCCAATAGATCACAATAAACTTCGCATCTTAGTATATAATTCTCACACTAAATATGAGGACATAATTACCAAGGAGTTTATCAAATAAAATGTACAATTCACATGCAAAAAATCTGAACGAAGCAGCACACTACATATATAAATTTATTTCAGTTACAGTCAACAACTCTGTGCTCCAAGCAATCAATCAGAATTCGATCTATGTAATATAATATAGCATTGATGAAAATCTTAGAACATCTTAATCTAAAGAAAAAATCCTGGCAAGTTTTACTTGTCATCTAAATTAAACTTTTTCCTCCTTCTGTGCAAAACAAAGGGGGAGCGTAAAAAGATTTGCAAAGAAAAATGACCTGCAATTAATTGTCACCTGGATTCAAGAGGGGGCTTGCAACTGCACTGAACACTTTCTAAGCATCTGTTACACGAGAGGTTAAGAGTTATACAACCATGAACTTTCATAAACAGGGTAGGAAGTCAGGCACTAGGAAACATAGCTGCTATCAGGCGAAGAAAACACACAGTTAAGAACAAATAAATCCACTGACGAAATTAATAGAAACATTAGAAGAGCACCAGACCGAGTCAAAGGTCCCAAGTCTCATTGCCAGAAGTTCCAGAAAACAGAAAAACTAGTACTTAAGCACCAATGCAATCCACGTATGTTCTAAGCTACTAGCAATGTTTAAAATAAAGCGCAGCAGCAAGAAGAGAAAGAACAAGGGCATATAGCAATTTCCTACTCAATAGAATATAGATATAGTTCATCTTGATCAAGAATAAAATTTATTTGCCCATCCTGCGTCAAACAGAGGACAGGTAGGCTATTACCCTCCCTTTCCTATATCATATCCCTTGGCCTACCACAAAGCCCCAAAAGCGTTATCACTACTCAGCCCATTCCTCATAATAGATCTCCTAGGCAAGGGTGCACACCATATTTGCCAAAACAACAAACAAGTTTGGGTGGCTACTTCTCCATTAAGAAACTGGAACTGCATCCGTCAGTTCAGAAACTCTTAAGTATTTAACTAACCTATACAAAGATTTCTGTTAAAAAAAAAAAGAAAAATGAAAAAATTAATCCCCTAGAGAATTTTGGACAACAGATTCTCCTTCATTTAAAAAAAAATAAAGCCAAAGACAAAAGCCTCGATAGCCAATTCAAGTATTACCGATCATTCCAGTGCAGAGAAGAGCTAGTTTTTCTCACCTGGTCTTGAAGCCAGAAACAGCACAAAATAATAATAATAATAAAAGAAAAACTCCATCCCCATTTTTTCTCTTGGACTTTCAAGGGAACCATATGATAGAAAGACTCCATTGCTACACCTACACTATAACTCAATTACCCAAACCAAGCTAAAATTTACAAGCAACATCAAAAAAGAAATTATCCACAAAACATCAACATAAAGACCCGAAAAGGCTCAAATTGCCAAAGCATTACAAGAAGCACAAACAACCTCACCAATCAAACCAATCACCTAACCCAAAAATTCCCGAATAAACACAAAACTCACATCAGTAAATCAAAAACTCATCATTTCATAACTAAGAAAAAGACATAGAAAGTTCTAAAGAATAAACCTTTCAGCTCATCATCAACACACTCCTCTTGATCCTCCTCAGGCACAGGATGGAGACCCTCTTCAACCCCGTCACCAACACCACCTGTTTTCACACTCTCTTCTTCTTTACCATCATCACTACACCTAACAACAACAACAGGGCAAACACAATGCTGCACACAATAATCACTAACACTCCCTAACCTCCCACCACTAACACTTCCTCCTTTACTAATCCCCTTCTTTCTTGTAGCACCAAAACCTCTACTTCCCATTATCACGGCACTTAACCCCAATCTCTCAACTTCCAAACAAAGCCTCTCCTTCATGTCATGATCTTTCACTACATGAATCTTGAAAGGAACATTAGCCTCCAACAAAGGTTCAGCCAACAAATTGGTTTTGTTATTAGTAAAACTATCAAAATCATCCTCAAGTTTCTGCCTTTCTCGATTATCAGGACTGTTTGAGCCACTTAGCTCAAAAGGGGTGTTTTTGTTATTGATTTGTAGTTGAATTGACCCCCAATCAGCGCCATAGAGGACGGAAGTTGGCCGGACGTGGAGGAGGATCACGGCGTCGCCTGGTCGGAGGTAGTTCTCGACTGCCCATTTGACTGCATATGCACTCTCGTCGGAAAGGTCCACGGCTATGGCGACACGGCGGTTGGAGGTGGAGTTCGGGGTGGTAGGGGAGTGGAGGCGGGGAAGGGTGGGGAGTGGCGGGACTGGGAGGTCAGATTCAGATTTGTAAGGCTGTTTTGAGTTCATTTTGATCAAAAAAATGAATTATTTTTTTTTGCTATTTTTCGTAATGGTTTTGACTTTTGGAGGGAAGGAGAGAGTTATGGTTATGGTTTATATTTATTCATATGAATGCTCTGAATAAATTGACCACTCTAAGACCCAGTCCGGGTTTGAACAATTCAATTTAGGTTGGCTAAAGTTAATTTAAAATAACATAACAATTTTTCTTAAAAAAGTAAAACAATTTATTTTGAAATAAAAAGTTTTTAAAAAATTAAATTAAATTTCACTTGAATTTTAACAAAATTAAATAAATTACAAATTTTATCAAATTAATTTTTTATTTAATTTAATATAAAAACCTAACTTGGAACATCCTTGATTTTATAATCAATGCTAAATTGGTTATATTTTAGGTGAGGGATAAAGTTCCTCATATTTCTTAAATTAGAATGTTAATTGATATAAATATATTATTTTTGAAAAAAAATAATTATAAGTTTCAAAATTGATATATTGATTATATAATTAACTCACTAAGGATTGTAAAAACTGAAAATATTTTTATTCAGATGAAAACAAGGATTTCAATAATGTATTTTTATTATGTTTAATTTCTAATGAAAAAGATTACATAAAATTAATATTTTATTTTTAAAACTTAAAGCATCTAAATTTGGCAATGGTAATGCATGTCTTTTGGTTCGAAAAATTATATTGAATGATTTAGCAATAAATTTAATTGGTAAAATTGTAACTATTTATTATACTCATCTACTAAAAACAGAGAGAGAAGTCTTCTTGGTAGGAAAGAAATTATGTTCCTAATTTCTCAAGGTGGGAGTTAATTTCTTGCCTTCTATGCCATGCACGGAAGGCAAGCGGTGTAAAGATCAATTGCTTTCCTCATCCATGCTTGACCCTCTAATGGCTCTAAAGTCTCTCTTCCACTGTTATAGGGTAGCTCGAAGCCATAAGACATGTGTCTTTGCAGGTTTATGTGCATTCCTCGCTTCACTTCTTGTACAAAAATGGTATCTTGGACACGGATATATTGATAGTTTTGTTGCCCGCGCTTTGCTGGGACACGGATTTGAGTTCTTGCAGGCATTTTTTGTTCCTCGCCTGTTCGTCAAGAACAACTACCTTTTATATTCAAGTTTTAGTAAATTCAGTGGCTAAATCTCGTAACCAAAAGAAGAAAAAGGAAAGGTTTTCCAGATATAAAACACAAAAAAAACACCAGATAAGCCTTGAAGTCTGAGTAAAATTATCAAGTTGCTTTGTAAGCTTGCCAGAGAGACCAAAAACCCAGACATTAATGCTCTTGTTGTTTTGTGATTGAAAGCGAGCTTTGAGATTAAAACCATACAAGAAGAGTGCCCAAAAGTGAGAGCAACAGACAGCAGAAGGCTGGACATGAACTCCAAATAGGCCAGAAAGTTTGGGTCGCTTGTGCGTGATTCATGCTGGAGGATGGAGACATGAACGATGCTCGAGGAAAATGAGAGAGAGAGAGCTATCAAAAGTGTCAAATCATTAGCTGGAAAAATAGTTGTAAGTTGTCCATACTTTATGGCACTTCCTCTACGCGTCTAACTCTTTTCAAGTGATCATAGACAGTGCCTCAACATAAAAAGTCAGTCTTTGTTCTATTAACACGAACGAAGATCACTGGCTATTTGATCAGAATAAAAAAATATATATACCAACTTTTCAAATATGTTTTTCATATAAAAAAATATTAAATATAAACTGATAAACTTATACATATATCTAATTAAATAAATAAATAATTATTTATGTTAATAAAATAAAATAAAAATTATTAACAATAACTAAATATGTTCTTGAAAAAATTAAAAAGTTGATGTACATTAAAATATTTAATCTCACAACATAAATCATTTATCCAATTATATTTAATGAATTTATTTATTAAATTTATTTATTATTTAATTAAATGATAATAAAAATAGATAAACAAATAAAATTAATTGAATAAAATCAAAGGAGAAAAAAATAATATATATATATATACACACACACCAGCTTTTCAAATATATTTTTTATATTAAGAAATATTAAATATAAATTAACAAAC